AAATTAATGAATTGTGAAAAGGAAGAGTTATTATGTGACCCTTCAACTCCTTTACTTTTGTCACGTTAGAGGGGTGGCACATAATACATTTTAAATAAATAAGTATGCAGGAATTAATGCCTAACTGCAGGTACAGGTACATGGGAACTTAGGGGAGCAGAGATGTTGTAGGTAGAATGGACAAAGCCTTCTCCCCTAGGCCACGACTCACTCTCCAAAGTGGCATTTCTCTGCTTTCCATTGTCTAATTAAATTCCACTGGCTAATTAGCTCCAGAGGGAAGAGGCCATCCATGCCTTGAAGATAACCCCCTCCTTTCAGTTAGATGATAGTGATTAGTATACTGTGCTAATTATAATTCCATGAGGTAGACACCCAACTTGAGGAGTGGTCGACTTGCTGTCCTTACTTGATTTCCTTGGGTGGCTCCTGACAACATCACCCAGCATTTTGTTACTGTTAGGATTGCCATGAGGATTAAATGAGGTATCCTTGTGTAGGCACAGCATGGGACCTGGCATATAATAAATGTGCAGTAATTGTTGGTTATGATTGTATTATCATCACCATCATTTATGTTTATTGAGCATATACTTTGTGTTAAGTGTTTGACTTGTATTATCTCATTTAAACCCCACAAAACCTCTAGGAAGTGGAAACTAATCCTCATTTCACCGGTGAGAGAACTGGGGCAGGGGGTGGTGGTAAGTGGTTTGTTCAAGGTCAAAAAACTGCTAAGAGATAGAGCCAAACCTTGAACTTGTTCAGTTTGATTCTAACTTGTTTTACACATTGCTGAAAAATCACTGAAAAATACATTTTAAAATGTAACATACAATAAGTAGGCATTGAAGATATGTTAGCTACAAATTTAGCATGGTGATGAGAAAAACCTGATTGGTTCCCTAGATCAGCAGTGTTTCATGAGCACCCTGGTGTAAAAAGCTCTCCATAGGGGAGCATTGGTTAGAGAACAAAGAAATGCGGCAGATGATCTCAGTGAGAGGTCACTAAGCCCCTCTCACACAACAGTGAGTCAAACATGCACTCACTGGATGATAGCATGGACCTGGGAGAGGAGGCAGAGGAGCCTCCCATACGTGGTTCTTGCACCTTCACCTGGTTCAGGAGACAGGGTTTAACAGATGCCAACATTCAAACCTTGGTTTCACCTTTCTGCAGTATGGCCTTGAGTGAGTTTCTCTACCTCTTTGAGCCACAGTGTTCTCATGCATAAAAGGGAGAAAGTGACGGTGACTTCACAGACATCCTGTGAAGGCCCTTATTTCTGATACAGGTACATGTTAAAGTGGTTTTAGTCTTTAAACATATTATTGTGCTGGGTAATGTCAACCCCAAACAAACACACAAATAGCCTTGAGCATTAGGTTCCGCGCTTGTAGATTTCCTACTAGGTTCCTGATTCCTGGGTTGAGGATGGAGCACACGGCCCTATTCTCCCGTCTGCAGGGCTGGGCAAGCCATTTCCTATCCAGTCTCCAAATGTCTGGAGCGACTCTGAGCTTGAGGCCCAGCCGTCTCATCCTAGCAGCTCCCTGTCACGTTTTTTTTTTTTTTTTTTTTTTAATATATTTTATTGGTTTTTTTACAGAGAGGAAGAGAGAGGGATAGAGAGTTAGAAACATCCATGAGAGAGAAACATCGATCAGCTGCCTCCTGCACACTCCCTACTGGGGATGTGCCCGCAACCTAGGTATATGCCCTTGACCTGGGACCCTTGAGTCTGCAGACAGACGCTCTATCCACTGATGAGCCAAACCGGTTAGGGCCCTGTCATGTTTTTTATACCATTGACCGAACTTTGGGTCATGATGTGTTGGGGTCCTGCCTCAGCAGGTCCAGGGGTTCCCAAATGTGTGGACTGAGTCGGCGAAGGAATGACACGGAGGCAGCGTTCAGTTGATCAGCATAGCGAGGTTCTCCAGCCAAGTTCTGTCTAGGTCCTCTTGCCATGTTCTCTCGCTAGGTTCTCCAGCCAGGTTCTGTCTTTTATTGTCTTGTTACATCTGTATTTTTTTTTTTTTTTTGGAATAAAAATCTTTTATTTATTTATTTATTTATTTATTTATTTATTTATTTATACCAGTTGATTTTAATCCTGTCAATTTCTATTCCAAAGGTTAGGGCGTTTCTTATCTCCATTCCAGGGAGTAAAGATTATGTAGCTTAAGGGTGATTGTTCATAGTTAAAGTGATTAACTACCCCCCTTGCACTTAGTTAAGGGGTTTTATTGCCTCCCTAACTTCAGGGAAAAAATCCCTAACTGGGGAAACAACCTTTCTCGGAGAGGTGACCTTGGTTAAAACACATAGCGCCAAGAAGGTGAGCAAACATATTAAGAACAGTATGCCATATATGCCAGGTCCCTTGAAACATATGCTGTGCAGATGTTTCTTCCCTGCAGCGACTGTGTCAAGCAGCAAGGATGGACCGGCTTCCGGCAATGATGCTCTTCAGTTTGTGAAATAAAATTCCAGAGTATATTTTCTAAAACATTCAATCCATTGAACATGCAAAAATCTAAGGCCTCTGACTAGTGAAAATATGTCAAGATCATTTATCAATGGTTAGTGCATTTTATTCTAGAAAGCCTTTATTTCTCAGTCCTGTTTATCTAATGCAATTGCTTTGGCAAGACAGTCATGTGATGGAAATGGGAATTTAGTGTGATGCAATGACATTTAATGAGTTGTTAAGAGGAGCCAGTGTCTGATGTGAGAGATAAAGGGGAAGGGAAGGAAAAGGCGACAACTTCTGGGTCACCCGAGGGCCTGATTCTGAGGTGGTTACACCCTTGAGGCTGCCAGATTTCATAGGTGATGATTTATGCCATTTTTATAGTCACAGAGACTTGGATTCTGCTAAAAGCGAAACAGTTTGGAAAAGCCAACCATCAGGTTGTAGATCTAATGGAAAAAGCATCCTAGTTGGAGTCTGGAGAACACCAACATTTAGGTTCCTCATTTGAATAAAGGTACTAATGCAGTACTGTTGATTGTTTTGCCAACCGATAAATGTTTGGATGGCTACTTACATTTGTATATATACTTTGAAGATATTACATTGAAATTTTATTTTACGTCTTTCAACTCTCCAACTGTGGCCCACCAAGGCCAATATTTATAGAAGGGAAGACCCCTGGTCCAGTAGCAAAAATACTAATTTGAGGGTTTGAGAACTCAAGTTTTATTTCTCCCATGTTCTATGCAATTTGGAGAGGTATGATTTGGTATATAATCAGTGGTCGGCAAACTCATTAGTCAACAAAGCCAAATATCAACAGTACTTCTTCAAAGTAGACTTGCCCAGGCCGAAAACCAACTTCTGCGCATGGGCCACGAAGTTTCAATCGCACTGTATGTGCACACCCGCATGTGGTATTTTGTGGAAGAGCCACACTCAAAGGGCCAAAGAGCCGCATGTGGCTTGAGAGCCGCAATTTGCCGACCACGGGGTATAATTATTTATGGAAGAAAGGGGTTCTGAAAGCCGCAAATTGAGATGTGTTTCTTTTTAAAAAATATATTTTTATTGATTTCAGGGAGGAAGGGAGAGGCGGGGAGACAGAGATAGAAACATCAATGGTGAGAGAGAATCATTGATTGGCCGCTTCCTGCTCACTCTCTACTGGGGATCGAGCCCACAATCTGGCAGTGCCCTACCACTGAGCCATCCCACTGGGTGAGCTGTATTTCTGTTGCATCTCAGATGTTCAGATTGGCCTGTATGGCATTTTACATAATTTATGTTTGTTAATGGTTGCCTCATCGATGTGCCCCTCATTTTGGGAGTGAGGCAGGTAGACGATGTGGGTTTTCAGGTCTCGGCAGCTTTCACCACATCCGAGGACAAGGGACCAGCGGGCCAGGGGGCAGGAGTGGCTCGTGCCTTTGAAGAGGGGCTGAGGATGCTCTTAATGCTCTGAGGCAGTGTCCTGTGTTGGGGTTCTCTCTGGGAATGACGTGCTGCTGGAAATACTTTAGGACACATACCCGTACGATCGGGAACCTTAGGAATGTGCAGAAGCAGTCATGGCTGGAGCTTCAGGGTCATGATCGTATGAGGGAATCAGCTATCCTATATAATAAAAGGGTAATGTGCAAATTGACCCAACGGCAGAATAACCAATCACTATGACATGCACTGACCACCAGGGGGCAGACGCTAAACTCAGGAACTGCCCCCTGGTGGTCAGTGCAGTGCTGCTCAGCCAGAAGCCAGGCTCACAGCTGGCAAGCGCTACGGCAGTGGTGGGAGCCTCTCCAGCCTCCACGGCAGTGCTAAGGATGTTCAACTGTCGGCTTAGGCCTGCTCCCCATGGGGGAGCAGGCCTAAGCCAGCAGTCGGATATCCTCTGAGGGCTCCTGGGCTGCGAGAGGGTGCAGGCTGGGCTGAGGAACCCCCCCCCCCACAAGTGCATGAATTTTGTGCACCGGGCCTCTAGTACAATATAACATAATATGTTGGAGAAAAGCTTGAGCTGCCTCTTGAGGTGGTCACACTTAGTCTCTCTCTTTCTCTGTTTCTGTCTCACTATTCCTTTCATTCTTTCCTCTTTGCTTTTTACTCTCTAAGTTGGTTCTCTCCCTTTCACTTTTTTTCTTTCCTTCTTTCTCTTTTTCCCTCTCCCATTCTCTCTCTTTTCTCACCTTTGGGGGTGGGGTGCAGGGGGCTAAAGGATCTGCCTTATCAGGTGTGTTGGCCCTTCTCTCTGATTCCTCTTCATGGGCTTTCCTGGCTCTTTTGCACTCTGGCCTGAATCCTCCCCTCTAAGGTGGGCAGATGAGTGTGAATTTCCAATGACTGCTCCGCTGAGATTAGTTTACTCACTGGGTAGCAGAAGACATTTCAGTCATATCTTCTTCCACAAACCCAGAAGGTGGGCAGCTTTCACTAGGGAGCTCTGCTCAGCTTTCATCTCAATCATGGATATAGTCTTCCTCTATGATGACCAAGGCTGTTGTCTTTCTGATTATAGATCGAGGAAACTCGGCTCAACATTGACAAGATCTCTGAGCATGTAGAGGGGGCTAAGAAACTCTACAGTATCATTCTGTCTGCACCAATTCCAGAACCAAGTGAGTGTTTATCCAGAGATGAGTCACCCATTGATGACCCTTGGCATAGGGGCTGAGCCAATCTTGTTTTTCCTTCCCTCTGTGAACAGCAGGGCAGTGTACATATGCATTATATTCCACCAGTGTACACATCATATCATCTCCCATCCTCCTTTACCCTATCTGGGCTCACCCTGCTCAACCATAGTCAGCTCTTCTCTTCATGGTCCCATGAAGTGAAACTCTTCATGGTCCCATGCAGTGAAACTCCTCTACTTCCCAACTGGTTGCTTATGACTGACAGTGACTCTTCCTGCTTCTAATGAACCTCATCTCAGCCCCACCTCTGCCCCTTTGCTTGTGCTATCTCATAAGTCTTACCAGATCAAGTCCATTATTTTTTCATGAGGCTTTACAAAATGGTTCAAATCCACATCAGTTCCTCCCATCACTAATCTCCTGTTTGTTACCAGCATGGACAAAATTTCCCCCCTAATTATTTCAAATTTTTAGAGTAGAGTTTAGGGTTATATTTTAGATTCCATAAGAACAAGGAACAAGTTTGTTACTGTTCAACTTTTTCAGTGAGTCTCTATTACCTAAAGATTAAAGTTGAAACATGTTAGTAGAGCCTATGACATGGTCTTGGCCACATTTTTGCCATCCTTCCCCATGTTACCCACACTGTAGCCAGACCAAACTTTGTTCTCCAAATGCTTCTTGTCCCCAAAGGTCTTGCACATATTGTTTTTCCTCCCGGAGACTTCAGTCTTAGTCTCGTTTCCAATCTGGTTAACTCTTAGTCCTTCTCTGAGACTCAGTCCTATTATCATCTGTCTTTAAAAGCCTCTCCAGGTCCCTCCAGCTGTGCTAGTGGGCTCTTCCTAACCATCCCATCCCATGCATGCCTTGACCAGAACTCACAGCTTAATCCACACTGCATATTAGAACTGCAATCAACGGTGTCCCTTTTGTCCCTTGTTCCCCACTAGACCCTGAACAGCTTGAAGGCAGGCTCTATATCTTTTCTCTGAAAACTTAGTTTCTATCTCAGTTCCATGCTTGTAGTAGGTGCCGTAGGGTGGTCATAGCTAATACTCATTTTGCTCCATACCTCCTAGGGCAGCATTGTGTGTCTTAAATATATGCTTGATTTTAAGTTGATGAACATGGAATTCTTTTCTCCTCAGAAGTCCCATAAAAACCCTATTCTCCCTTCTAAATGGAAGCCCTTATGGTAAACTGGATTATTTCCTCTAAAAACAAGGTTCTCAAAATTTGTGTGCTGGAGAATTACTTGGGAAGGCTTGTTAAAAAGACAGATGGTGGAGATCCAACCCTGGGGGTTTTTATTCTGTAGGTTTGGGATGGAATGCCTGGAAAATGCCTTTAAAAGTAAGTTCTCTATGATCCTAATGATGGAGAGCACACTAGAATAAATATTGCTCTGGGCATTAATCATTAGTCTTTTCTAACTGATCATACCTGCCTTTGTTTACCCAGAAACCAAAGAAGACCTAGAGCAGCTCACGACTGAAATCAAGAAAAGGGCCAACAACGTCCGGAACAAACTGAAGAGTAAGAAGGGAGTAAAGGGAACAAGCCAGCCCCCACCACTATCTGTGTCACATCCACAGGGTCCAAATCTCCTGGATCAAAACTCATCCTGGTGGAAGCAAAGCCACTTGTTCTATCTTTGCCTGTGCTTTGGGCACTCTCCCCAGAAATTTGCCTGTTCTTGATCATGACTGTGTTTGAAAGAGTGCAGAATTGAAGTTAAGAGATGGGCATTGACGTGTGCTTTCTGAGTAGTTGTGTGACTTGGCAGCTTTCACTAAGGAGCTCTGCCTTTCTCTGTTTCCCCAGCACCTATGTACATTTGAATAGTAATGGTAGAGATATATAGATGCACAATATATTATTTAGTCTATTGACATTTCTTGGGGGTGTATATCACCGGCCATTACCTTAGCCCCACCCCTCAGTTTAGAGCATTGTTCAGTGAGCAATGTCATAGATTTAATTCCTCTTGGGGCCTAGAAGGTCTCTCAGTTCAATGGCTGTGGTCTGCATCTCTGTCCAGTGTTTTTGGTGAATGTATGTTATTGGTCAGAGAGTGAAATTAGCATTGTTCAGCCCAAGTTATTTCTTTTTCCCTCAAAACAAATCACTGTACTTGTTTTCATGGGGGTAGAGGTGGTGGTCATAGTAGCAACTTCCAATAATAGCAATGATGGTGTGTCTGCCACTGAGCCAAGCACTCTGTGCGCAGTCCCATTTAATCTTCACATCAGGATTGTGAGGGAGGTGCTATATGTATTCCATTTTATAGGTGAGGGAATACTGAGAAAGGTGAAATGGCTTTCCCAAAGTCACGCAGCTAGTAAGTGGCAGGACAAGGGTTTGAGACTGAGTTTCTTGGTGACTAAGGCTCATGCTGTGCTAAGATATACCCAAAGAATACCTGGTAATGCAAGTCCTGTGGCTCACATGTGAGCTGACTTTCAGAGATTGTACCTGCCTGTTGCTCCATCTCCATGGGCTGGGTGTGTGAGAATGAGCAAGGAGATTTGTATCGACCTGTGTGTTTCTCAGAGGAGAGCAGCAGGTGTGTTGCTGGAATAATGTATCTCTTTGCTCCAGGCATGGAGAGGCACATTGAAGAAGACGAGGTCCGCTCGTCTGCAGACCTTCGTATTCGAAAATCCCAGGTAGGACTTTCTCTGGTTTAACTATCATCTAGTTTTTTTTTTTAATATATTTTATTGATTTTTTACAGAGAGGAAGGGAGAGAGACAGAGAGTCAGAAACATCGATGAGAGAGAAACATTGATCAGCTGCCTCCTGCACATCTCCCACTGGGGATGTGCCGCAACCCAGGTACATGCCCCTGACCGGAATCGAACCCGGGACCCTTCAGTCCGCAGGCCGACGCTCTATCCACTGAGCCAAACCAGTTTCGGCAACTATCATCTAGTTTAATCTCTTAATTTATGTTTTTCTTAGCTCAGGGTTTTTTGTGTGTTTTGTTTTGTTTTTAAGTACAATTCTTATTTGGAACTCAACTGGGAACTGCAAAGGAGGAGCTGTCCAGGTTAAAGTAGAGAACAGGCCTGAAGTCCAGCCCTCCTGGCCACTCTGATACTCTCCTCCAAGGAGGTCCCTGAAGAACTTCCTAGGGCTCCCAAAACATAGCTTAGGATTTTGTATGCCTCCTTGTTTTACAGGGGAGGAAATTGAAGTCTTCTCTCTAAAGATTGTTTGTCATTAGTTGTCCAGTTTGGAGTTAGGCTCTTTGGTGGACATCAGAGATAATGATCCTTGTCCTTGAAGAACTAGCATGATGTTCAGGTGGCATAAGGAACCTGTTGTGGAAGGCAGTGTAAGAATACATAATCTATTGCATGTGTTCTTAGCATTAAAAGACCTCAGGAAGAATTGGGGGTAGCCAGAGGAGGCTGGGCCTTGGGTGAGTAAGAGTGCCCACATGGACAGACAGGCTCAGGGGTAGAGGTTCAGGGTGTGTGTGTCTCTCTGTGTGTCTGTGGGTCTGCAGGTGTGTGTATCTGTGTTTGTTGGTGTATATGGTGTGTGTGTGTGTGTGTGTGTGGGTGTGTGTGTTGGTGATGGGGGTGAGGTAGGGATGAAGGACAAACATGAAGAGAGGCAGCTCATTTGCTTTCTAGGGACTCTGATTATGATCGAGTCACCTGTATGTATTTGCTTCAGGTTGAAGTCTTTTAGTTTGAAAGTTGGCTCAGAGAGGGGAAGAGGCAAGAGGAAAGTTGGCTAGGTGGGTTTTTGCAATGATTTTGTTTCTGAATTTTCACAGTGGTAGTAGGTTTGAAAAAGTATAAATATTGGTGATTTTTCAAACCAGTGGTGCTTAATGGCTATTGAGTGAATGCATTCACTTTTTTATTTAGAAGCAAAAAGAGTTGGGGAGAAGAGTTTGAGTAAGAATTCAGGACTTTGGCAGGTATGGGATGTAGAAAGGGAACCTGACAGCTTTAGAAAGCAGGCCAAGAGTTGTGCCAGAAAAATGCTCCTCGTCCATGTGGGTGCAGGGCTCAGACTCACGGAGTATCTCGTCTGGCCTCACAAGTACCACATGAGGTCAGCAGGGCAGGTAAACCTGCTGAAGACAGGCTTTGGAAAGATCAGTGGATCTCCCATTGGTGTAAAGTTAGAACACCAAAAAATTGAGTCTGATATATTAGTCTTTTGGTTCCAAGGCCAGTGCTGCTGGAGATGAAGCTATGTGGGGTGGTGTTGGGGGTGGGGGTTCTACAGCAGTTAGGGACCTCCCCCCTCCCTCACCTACTGCATTTGACATTCTTCCGACAGCACTCTGTCCTCTCCCGGAAGTTTGTGGAGGTGATGACCAAATACAATGAGGCTCAAGTGGACTTTCGTGAACGCAGCAAAGGGCGAATCCAGCGGCAGCTCGAAATCAGTGCGTGTCTGAAATTTCGTGGTGCTTCTTCACGCTTTCCTGCCACATGGTTGTCTGCCCCAGTTGTGAGATCTGGGGAGAAGGAGCAGCAACCATGCTTGGGCTTCCATCTCATATTCTGTGCCCAAGCCCGGGACACTCCCTGGATGCTGGTTCTTAGGCTGAAGGTGGCTCCGTGTTTATCAGGCCCAAGCAATTTTGTCTTTATGGAGGCCAGCATTTCCTATACGTAGAGAGGAGACACTTGCTAAACAGTGGCTCTCCTGGGGACTCAAGATGTTTTTTGCTGTCTTTTTGATAGCAAAGACCATTTATGAAATAAAAGGTGTGATGCTAGCTGCTGTGAAGAACGAGGGCATTAATGAAGCTGTGCTCTTTAAGAATTTGGTAACGTGGAACTCAGGGCCCTGTGGGGCGGTGGGGCTGGGAGCGCCCTGTAAGTGGAAGAACTGTAGGAACAAGGATGTTGTGAAAGAAACACAAGTGTATTTAGGAGTGGCAGGCTATCCAGGGTCTGGGGAAAGTGTGCATTTGGGAATAACAGTGAGAGGTTAATGGGGATGCAGGAAGGGTCCACCCAGGAACTGACTCCTTGTCCTGAGGGCCTTGGTCTCTGAGGCGTAGTGATGGGACCAGTCAATGTTCTGAGCTGGGAAGAATGTGATCAGGTATATGTTTCAGGAAGATAATTGCTGACTATGTTAACAATGAATCAGATTATGGGAGAAATCGAGGACAGATGAGTCAGGAGAACGTTGGGAGAGTGTTGTAAAGGCCATGGTCTTTATAGTGGAGTTACCATATTCCTATCTTCAGGGAACTTTTGAAATGGTGTGTTTTGACCTTATATTCGATGCTCTGCTTCTGTTATAAAGCCGGCAAGAAGACCACAGATGAGGAGCTGGAGGAGATGTTGGAGAGTGGAAACCCTGCCATCTTCACTTCTGGGGTGAGTGACTCGGGAGCTGGGGTGTATGCCCCTCCACAGAGGAGGGAGGCCACTGGGAGCTCCATTCGGGTAGCCAGGGAAGGGTGGGCTGCAGGTGCAGGGAGGCAGGGGACGTGAGGAGCTGGGCAGGAGGGGATGAAGGCTGCAGCAGGGGATGGTGGCTGATGACCTGTCATTGTGCGGCCTCTTGTAGATCATTGACTCTCAGATTTCCAAGCAAGCCCTCAGTGAAATCGAGGGACGGCACAAAGACATCGTGAGGCTGGAGAGCAGCATCAAGGAGCTCCATGACATGTTTATGGACATCGCCATGCTGGTGGAGAATCAGGTAACTGGCCATGGGTATCAGTGTGGGAGGGAAAAGAGGGAAGCTCAGGTACTTCTGAAAATGGTAAGGAAGAGAACATGAGGAGCCAGGTGAGGGAGCATCATCAGAATTTGCTTGAAGGAGAAACAGAATTCCAGTATCCCAGGGAAAGGAATACACACTTGGACCCTGACACATGGGGCAGTCCTGGCTTCTCGTTCTTTTCAGTACTTTGGGCTCACAGTCATTTCTAGTTAATACGGGGTTACAAGTATCTTTCAAGTGCCCAGTTTCCTCTGGACTCAGGTTCTATTTTTATTTGCTTTTTAAAGTTAGAGATATGGGTTCTTAATGAAGATGCCTTAAAAGTCTCCTTATATAAACTGTTTCACTGGTGAAAAGTTAGATTTAATAGAAGTTTTTATTATTTTCCATTTTTGTTTTTTATATTTGTTCTTCCAAAAATGTTGCCACCTTTGGCTCAGAAACAAGAGTAGATAACAAAGTGAATGAAGGAATAGCACAGTATTTACATAAAAACTTGAAACACAAATGGTGCTTAGCTGGACAGCTTGTTCTGTCCCTGGGCACACTTCTCAGGGATGCGAGTCTCTGTCTCCTGCATGCAATGTTAGTTTCACATAGTCAGACACAGCCCGGTGTTGTGGTGTCGTGCCGATATCACTGAACCTGTAGCTGCTTGGCCAGCTGGTCAGGACTGAGAACTGCTTCCTTTGAAGGACTGCAGAACTGAACTGTAGCCCGAGCACTGCCTGGCAGCACTGCCTGGCTGGCAGTTGACATCAGTTCCCTGCTCAGGGCTCAGTGCCATTCTTCCTCCCAGTCTGGCCTTTGAGACCATGTTGTTAGTCCTTCCATCCCCACTTTTCCTTTTTCTCCCCACACTGCCTTGCCGAGGAGCTGGTTTGAGATCCAAGTGGTGGTAAGTGCCTTTCCCTGTTGACAGACTGTTGTAAAACGATGGGTCGAGTTGAGGGAAGATGTAGGTAGGTGAGGGGAATTCCCATCCTAAGGTGCCCAGAAATTAATTGTAATGAGAGCACTTCTTGTCAGGAAGTAATAGCTGGGAAATAGGTTGGGAATCTTCTTAAGAGATCACTGTCTCTTAGCCACATAGTTTGGGTGAACCCAGTGTGTCACTTAAGGGGCCAGGGAATATCTCTGAGAAAGCACATGTTCCCACCCTCAGATATTTATGGAGTACCTACTGTGTGCCAGGCACCATTCAATGGTATTGAACAAACTTAGTTCAAGCCAAATAAACTTGATCCAGGTCTGAATGACCAGGAAGAGGCCAGGACCCTGGTAATAGGTAAATCAGGGGAAAAGGTGGGCATGTGCCCTCTGAAGGCCACACATCAGGTTTTCTGGATGCTCCCCTTGGCATTGAAGATAATGATGTGGGGATAGGACTGTCTGGGGGCGGGGGGACGGTTATTAAGTTTGACTAGTGTCTGTTCTTTGCAGGGCGAGATGTTAGATAACATAGAGCTGAATGTCATGCACACAGTGGACCACGTGGAGAAGGCACGGGATGAAACTAAAAAAGCCGTGAAATACCAGGGGCAGGCCCGGAAGGTGAGACGCCCTCCGCCTTCAGGGAAGAGTCCATGTTGTGCGCTATCTCTCGCTCTTTCTTCCCTCTCTCTGTCTCTTCTTCTGCTGCCACCACCTCTTGCATCCCGGGAAAGGGAGCCATGATTGACCGTATCGAGAACAACATGGACCAGTCAGTGGGTTTCGTGGAGCGAGCCGTTACCGATACCAAAAAAGCTGTCAAGTATCAGAGTGAAGCTCGGAGGGTGAGCGCCTTAGTCCCAGCCGGTCCTACTTGCCTCTCCTCTCTCCAGTTATCCCCACTTGTGTCCTTGAGCCTGTGCCTTCTCTCTCTGTCCTGGCCTCATCCAAACACCTGTGTCAGCCTCTCCTAGAGACTAGCCGTCCTTCCTTCCCGTGCTGTGCCTCTCATGGATCTGGCTCACAGGCTCGCACCCAAGAACCACACTGAAGGCAGTTCTGTAGGGTGGAGCGATTGCCCGGGTGTTGCTCCTGGGCAAATGTTATACTTGACTCCTCTGAAACCTTCTCTTCCACTCAAGCAGCCCAAGATTCCCCCCGCCCCTGCCCTTTCTCTACCAGGAAATCAGTGCTGTGCTGATTGTTGTGAAAAATGTCGTATCTTATGGAGCACCTATTAGTTCTATTTCATAGATGACAGGAGGGCCAGAGGCTAATTGGCTTCAGGCCACCTAGTCAGCATAGGAGCTTGGATTCAGATTCAGATCCTAATCATGCTCTTCCCACCACACCATCCTATCTCCCCACCCACTTCCTTCTGGTGCCCCGATGCTGGAGGCCTTCTGGCTTCTCTGCCCATTGACTGGTAGCCAGCTCTGTGGCTTTTGCTTGCTCTTTAGACATTTCTTTCCTGTTCCTCCTGGGCTCTAATATTTTTGTTCTTCAGTTCCTTGTTTTCTCACTTCACCTGTTGCTTGCGCAGGGATTTGGGAAGCTGGGGAGTTACTTTACATGATGAATCCAGGCTGGTTCACAACAGGACCATACTCTTGCTTTTGGATGTCCAGTCACTGGGGCTGTCAGGTGGGCGTGTGCTTTAGGGAGGAGAAGGACAGAGTTTGACATTAGGACTGTGTCAAAAATATCGTTGCACCCCCTTTGGAAAATAAAAGATGAATCACTTTATATCTTGGCCTATTGCTGCGTGGCGACTCCATGATAGTTGCGCTTATGTCTGTCCACATGGGCAGGACAGCATTGTGAGCTGAGAGCTGATAGAAACTCTGTGTTTCCATCTGGAATATATAGCTAGCCAAGAAGTAATCTGATAAGTATAAAATATCCTAATGGAATGTCTTCATATAGGCTGTAGGCTTTTTTATTTGAATTGCTAAGATGCTTTCGATGTTGAGGTGAGAGGGGTTGGGTTTTAGATGAATTATTATTGCTTTTGGCTGTGTGTAATAATGCCTTGTTTTTGTTTCTCTTATCCCTCTCCAGAAGTTGATAATTATCATTGTGGTAGTAGTTGTGTTGCTGGGCATTTTAGCGTTGGTTATTGGACTTTCCGTTGGGCTGAAATAAGGGCGGCCCAAGAGGCTGCTGCACTGAAATGTAAGTAAATGGAAGGTTCTCGGGACTCTTTTTTGACTTCCTCTTGACAAATTAGCCTGGGATTTTAAATCCCACTTCTTCCACCTTGTGATTGTCCTTGGACTTGCTAAAACTTTCAGTTGTCTGTACATTCTATCATCTCTTTAAAATTCTGTTCTTGGGTTCTGGCTGCAGTCGGTGGGTTGGTTCTCCTGGTTGTCCCTACTCTTTGCCTGTTAATGTTTCACTGCCATTCCTGGTCTCTCTGAGCACTTCATTCCCTCTCCCCTTACCCGGCAAGCATGCTCCTGTGCTGGGTACAGTCTGTGTTTTGGATCTGGGCTTTGTCTTCTGAATTCTTACTGGATTTCATGGATGTTGGGCTTTGCTTTTTCATCTTCTTTTTAGTGTAAATGAAGTTTTGAATTGGGAATGGGGTCTGTAGGGGTTTGTTTGTGGCTGACTGTTTGGATCGTGAATGATTTAGTAGTTAACATTTTTGAATGTTGAATTGTGCCAGACAATGTACTGAACACCATATATACATAACACTGACTCCTCACAACACCTTTTGAGATAGGTGCTATTATTATCCACATTTTACAGGTGAAGACACTTCGGCTTAAAGAGAAAAGCAATACAACCAAGTTTGAACATACAGCTAATAGTGGACCTATGGGAGTCCTTATTGCCATCTTAGTTTCTTTTTGTACAACAAGGTAGCTATTTATCATCGTCTACAAAGTCTAGAGAACCCTAGTTGATAGTGACTTTAAAATATAGCCTATTAATTTCTTTTAAAATCTGGTAAAAAGAATAAGGCTGACCCCTGAATCAAGGTTTCATGTATATAGTGGTAGCATGATAGGAATGATCTAGTTATTGGGACTGTTAAAACTTAAGACTCTTAAGTCAGTGACGTCTTGAATATTACTTTCCTGAATTAAATATAGTATTTTAAAAAGCATATATTCTTATTGATTTCAGAGAGGAAGGAAGAGGGAGAGAGAGATAGAAACATCAATGATGAGAGAGAATCATTGATTTGCTGCCTCCTGCATGCCCCCTTCTGGGGATCAAGCCTGCAAGCCAGGTATGTGCCCTTGACCAGAATCGAACCTGGGACCCTTCAGTCCGCAGGCTGATGCTCTCTATCCACTGAGCCAAACCAGCTAGGGCAAAATATAGTATTTTTGTTTAAAAACTATAAAATGCAGAAAAGGTGAACAGAATTAACATTTAATATTGTTGAAAGCCTTGTGGCATGTTTTCACATTCAGATATAGTTTTACATGGTTCTGACTATATTACCTATCATTTTGTACCCAGTTACAAAATTGTAAGCATCATTCCACTAATATCTATTGTAAATCTGCTTGTCAACACAAGATTGTGACTATACCAGCCGTGGGCAAACTACGGCCCGCGGGCTGGATCCGGCCCGTTTGAAATGAATAAAACTAAAAAAAAAAAAAGACCGTACCCTTTTATGTAATGATGTTTACTTGAATTTATATTAGTTCACACAAACACTCAATCCATGCTTTTGTTCCGGCCCTCCGGTCCAGTTTAAGAACCCATTGTGGCCCTCGAGTCAAAAAGTTTGCCCACCCCTGGCTATACTCTCAATTATGTTACATTTCCCCAATGTTGGAGGTTTGTTATTGTTTTGCTATTACTAACATTATGACTAACTTATGTAATAGTTTTCTCATTTCTATTTTCCCTATATTATAAATTCATAGAAGTTGGGTTCCTGAGGTAATAGAAGTATTTTTAAGACTTGATACGTACTACCATTTTGATATCCAGAGGCAATCCTTCACTTTATATTTCTTGCCTCCTCCTTGCATGTAACTAAAGGGTCTGAAAGTCAGATTGTTATAGCTCTAAACATTCGCCTTCCTCTGGAGAGAGAAGCAGCAGTGAGGTGATCAACATCTAAGTAATTAATTGACACCCCCCTACCCCCAATTTGGAGTCTAGCCATTGTTTCTGTTTGCTTTTAAAGTTCAAGTTTTGCTCTGACTCTTAACTGTATCACTGGAAAGGATGTTAAAACTAAGCAAAGGCATATCTTTCCATATCCTTGGATGAAAGATGTCTTGCAAATTCATATTGCCCCTTACCATTCCTAATTCCAGGAATTCAGAATGTAAATGAATCATTTTTAAATGAGACTAATTGATATATTGTTTTTAGTTGATATGCTAAGTTGCTTACTGCAGGGTATTCCATCCGTATTCCCTAATAAAGTCAGGACTGAGCGTTACTAAGCCTCCCCTCTGCCTCCATCTGAGGGAGAGAGTTCTCTGAACAGGAGAGAAGGAAGACATCTTACATTTCTCATTCCTAGTTGTGTGGCAGCTATTCTCCTGTCTAGGAGAAGAATGTTAACCCAATTTTCAGACAGGAAAGTTATTTGAAGCTCAATAAGTTAAGAAACTTGCCCAGGTCCACACAGCTCATAAGGCAGAGTAGCCATAAAATAAGCCCTGAGCTTTTCCATATTCTTTTCACTGTGTCTTTCTGCCCTCTAAGAGAAGTGGAGTGTAAGGAGAGTCATAAAGAAGACTGGAGTCCCAGAAAGCTTCTGAAGCATGTGTTTGAAAGGCACTGATGTTGGCTCCACAGTAGAACAGGTGTTTCCAACATGTGATTGTGCCTCCCCACTGATAAGTCCTTCCGTGGGTGTGTGACAGCCTGTGTGAAGGATTAGACAAAGGACTAGAGGTTTAAAAAACTTTCTCTCTCATCATAGGGCTTTGTTTCTTATACAGTGGGATTTTTCATTTCAGGTCCTGTGTTGGTGTGTCTATTGGATTTCTCAGGGTTAGCATTTACTTTCCCATTATTCTCCCCTTTTCAGGTATTTCTGATCTTCCCTCTCCACCTTCTAGGTTTGTGGCTGATTCTTAATGTTGCCCTTCAACATCATCCTGTGTACTGATCAGCTCCTCCTTCCCCTGCCTCCCTTAGAGCCTGATTCTACTCCAGCCTGGTGTGGCCACCTTGTCTTCAGATGGGAATGGAGTTTGAATGGCCTTCCCGAAAGAGGATGGGACCCATTTCTTTGTTTCCTGTAACCATCCTTGGACCTGACGCAGCAAACCATCTAGCCCCGGAGGAGTCTAATCTACCTGATGCAACCCTGAGTTTTCCTCAAAACCTGCAGTCTGAACCAGCCTGGCTTCCCTTTTTTCCCTCTACTGTGTCAAATTTTTGCCTTGCACCTTGGAAAGCCAATTATTCAAAATCTTTCCAAGGTGCTGTATTTCTACCTCATGGACTGTCATTCTTCTCCCAGAAATTGAATTTTATCTTTCTTAGGAGGGTTTCTTTAACAAAGCAAAGGGATTCTTTCCAACAGTAAGGTTTGGACTTGAGTCTTCTACCTGGCAGGTTCCCAGTCCTCACAGTTCGTTGTCCCTGTGTCCTGAAAATATGAGGGATTGGCAGATGTTATTTTGGTCTGAGAGCTGACTTGCTTGAAATTCAGCCTTAAATGAAGCTCTTAGTATATTTAGGTTAGTGGCCAACTTCACTATTTGTCTGTGTTGTATTCTCTCATGTTTACTGTAGGTGGCGCCAGTGTGATGCAATCATCTGAGGTTACCATTTATGTAGGCTGAGGAGATGGGATATTTGTTTTCATGGCTGAGTCTTGGAAACTGGTTGCCCATTGTTAAGGGTGATGCTTTGTGAAGCCACTGCCTTGAAGCCAAATATTTTTTACTTAAAAAAATGTTTGGCATTTAACATTGAGCCAGGAACAAGGTGCTTGAGTCTTTGGCTCTGGAAATGTTTCAGACTGGTGCCAGCACTCCGTCACTCATTTCATGTGTTCCAGGTAAATTTTTATAATTGGCTGATGCATATATCTCTTCATGTGTCTCTCATGAAGTAGGAAGCTAGAAGTGGAGAATGTAACCTCAAAAAACAAACAACACACACACACACACACACCCCACCAAAAATAAACAAAACCCAACAACCTCGAGCTAGGCCAAAAATTAGGTAAGAGACATTGCTTACCTGCAAATGAGTCATAGTAGAAGTAGGATCTTTCCATGTCATGGAGAAGCCTGCTGGTTCTGGATGATGACTGGGAGAATCATAGGTCTTTGGGGGAGGACTAAGTTGATCTCCCTTAAGTTTTTTCTGGTTAGCAGATATGTGGGAAGTTTTGAAACCTTTCACTATCTGCTGCCTAGGCTAGGCTTGCCCCAGAGCAATTTGATATCATTTGTGTGACCTCTGGAATGTCCTGTCTCCAGGGCCCAGTCTGTTGGGAGACACCAGGAACTTCCCTGGTAGCTCTTCCTTCTATCAGGTTAATAAGCTTGACAGGTGCTTTGTCTCCCATAATCTCATCAGTGAGGAAGCAATAGCTGGGAAATTTTCAAGTGTCATGACTGTGCTGGCCCAGTTTTGAGCCTCTTAGATTCCCTGCTGGTCTCTGCCATCTATCTGATTTATACTTCAGCATTGATTTTAATGCTTTCTAGGGCAGGGCGAGCACCCTCATCCAGGCACTGCCCATTGGCTTCCTTTGTAAAGCTATTTCCAGTCATCGTCCAGCACTCAGACAGAGCCAAGGGGATGCCTCTTGCCCATGGCTATGAAGTTGAAGTGGACTGGCTCTAACAGCAAGGCCAGACAAGCTCTAATCACAGGCTTTTGCTCTCCTGAGATTGAGGTCTGGGGCTTATAGTTTGGAATACAATATAAGTGAAGGTTTTTGTTGTTGTTTGTATTTTTTAAAAAGTACACATGATTATTTTATTGCTATTTAAAAATAAATGACTTTATATTGATTGTGAAACCAGTTGTCTCAATTTGCCTGCAAAATACTTAGTGATTGGGCGCCACCATGTGGTGAGTTTAGGCTTTGGAATGGGGTATAAATATTTTTTAAACATGTGCTGGGTGAGATGGATCCGAAGTTCTAATTTTTGAAAATGTTTCAACTCTCAAAGAGTGCAGTGTAATTGTATTTGAGTTTCAGAGTTGAGGTGCTCCCCCCAAAGAGTTTGGCCCACTCATTGAGCGTAGTGGCTCTAGGAGGAAATGAGGTAAATCAGTGTGATGGTACCTAACTGGCAGAACATACTAGTGAACAGCTATCCTCCAAGATAGCTGTTGACTGAATTTGGAATCTCTCACTTAGAAGGAACATTCCTACACTCTGGGTTCTGGAAGCCAGATCCATCTCCCCTTTCCTTCATATCCCCTTACATGTCCTGATCCATGTTGTCTACCTTCCATGGGAACTCTTGTCTGCACAGTGATGTTGTTTCTTATGTGCTTTTTCTCTCTTCGTCTGGATGAGCAGAAGAAGATCATGATCATGATCTGCTGTGTCATCCTTGCGATCATCTTAGCTTCTACCATTGGGGGCATATTTGCCTGAAAAAGGTGAGCCATCTGAGGGGAGGGTCAGGCCTGCTTTCACTTACCTGAAATGGGTGTGTCCTGAGGGCATTCATTGTTTGTCACCAAAGTCTGGGTGGGATTAGGTGTTAGAATATATGAAGGTTGGAGAAAGCTAATGAGAGAGATGCTTCATAGTGAGAAAAGTGAGTGAGGGATGCATTGGTAGTAGGTAGATAGGGAGACAAAGGTGGCAATCTGGTCTGGTAGAAGAATGCTTTCTCTAAGGGTGTTGGTCTACTGCAGTGGTCGGCAAACTCATTAGTCAACAGAGCCAAATATCAACAGTACAATGACTGAAATTTCTTTTGAAAGCCAAATTTTTTAAACAAACTATATAGGTAGGTACATTGTTATTAACTTAATTAAGGTACTCCTAAGCTGGCCTTTGCTAAAAATGTCCTCAATCTGATTGAGGTACGTTCGCTGAGGTCGACCCCTTCCAACTCTCCCATCCACACTCGTCTTGTAAACTTGTTTCAGATAGATGAGTGTGGATGGGAGAGTTGGAAGGGGTCGACCTCAGCGAATGGACCTCCCGCGGTCCGCGGCCCACCTGCACCGCATCTCCCGTCACGACCTGACCGACACCCCCCACTTCTTATAATGCCACTTCTTCAAAATAGACTCGCCCAGGCAGAAAACCGACTTCTGTGCATGGGCCACGAAGTTTCAATCGCACTGTACGTGTGCGCCATCACGTGGTATTTTGTGGAAGAGCCACACTCAAGGGGCCAAAGAGCCGCATGTGGCTCTCGAGCCGCGGTTTACCGACCACTGGTCTACTGCAGCAAAATGTGGGCCTTGCCATCTAGGGATGGCCAAAGGATAAAGAATCAGTTCTTGTATTAGAAGCACCCTAAACTCTTTGGAAAAGGGCCACATAGTAAACCTCATATAAATAAATTTTCTCCTTTACAAGTTTAGGACATATTAACGTAGCCTTGTGAGTAGCCCATTACCCCTGCAGAAAAGGGATTTGTGATCCTGACCTTGAACAACTTGCTGTATAATCTTTGATTTCCCCCTCCACTTTCTATTATCTCCTTCAGCCCTCACAGGTGGATCCTCGACTGGCATTTTTAATCCTCCGTCCACCTCTGTGGTGCCATCACTTCTCACTAAGGATTCCTCAACAGTGACTCCTCTTTCCATTATGAAACCTCTTATAACACAGGGCATCAGTCAAACACCTACTGAAAGTTATGCAAAGGGAGACATTATGACAGTACAGAGTTGGGCAGCGGGCAGTGGTGAAGGAACAGGGAGTACAGAAATACGTAGCTGGTTTGAAGCAACGGACTGCAGGGTAACAGGCACCTCTTCAGGAAATAAAAGCAGATATTGTAGCATACCCAGTTCATCAGGATCAGTTGATCAGGGTTGGGCACTTGTTACTTCTGTTCTTCAGGTTCTTCTAAGTCTCGCCTTTGACCAACCCTACATCTCCTTCCTTCTTCAGGGCCCTCTAGTCTTTAAAGTGAAGTGCCTAATGATAGGCACCAGGCATGTCTTGTTCACTGCTGTCCTCAGTTTTAGCACAGTGCCTGCTACTTAGAGGTGCTCCACTATCTGTTGACTTAATTACCTGTAACTAAGCTCTGCTTTCTATTCGTAAGTCTTTGGATTTCACTCTTAAACCCTTTAAGCCACCAATGGAAAATGGTTTGTTAGTATCAGAGGCTGCATAAAATGCCTGGAATGGGTTGATCTACTTATGTAAAAACAAAACAGGATCCCCCTTACAACTTATACTGTAAAGTCCTTTCCCTATGGATGGTGGAGCCATCAACAGTCTCTCACCCTGCTAAGATGGTTGGTCTCCGGATTGTGGTTTAATAACTGAACATGGATCCAAAACAAAACAGGTTTATACTTTGGTTGAACTCCTAAGTCATCAATAGTGTGCTCTATGAATCCTAAAGGAGGAGATGAAGATGTTAGTTCAGAAAGGTGAAGTGTGGCTATCACTCACTTCCTTCTTACCCAATCGACATTGCTAACTGAAACTGTACAGCAACGTGTGTACAAGAAACTGTTCCAAACACTGTCCCCAATTCAAGGTTCACATTTGTTCTATGCAATTTAGTGATATTTCAAGTGATTAACTAAAAATACATTAAAAATAGCATATACCTTTTAAGGACCATTCAACTGTTTAGATAAATTTGTACTTTTGAAAGTATATTATTTTCTTTGTGGGAGATGTTAACTTTTTAAGAAAGTGGGATAAAAATATTTGACATTTTAATCAGTGTGCTTTCTACCCACTTTCAAAAGCAAATGATTTAATGTTTCTATCAATTTGTATTTCCTTTAGCATGAAGAATGGATAGAGAATTGCTGGCTAGTCCTGAAAAACAGATTAATCTTGGCAAAGGCAAATAGGGAGCTGGAACCATGGGGTCCTCATTTATACAGCAATAACTATTCAAGTCCTGTGTGGCACACTGCACTGTACTAGAACCCACAGGGATACAAAGATAGAGCCAGATACTCTTCCTCCTTAAACAGTTTCAGACCTAGGAAAGGCCACACAATTCTAACTTTTGTTTTTCAGTTCCTTTTGCTAAAAGGCAAGAGTGTGTTCCCAATACCTGCCCCCAACCCCCAAGATTGAGAGAAGATGGGTAGCTGGGCATGAGTAAATATTTGTTGAATTAACCCATTCACTGTCATTTTATTTCTTTGCTTTTTAAAAAATGTTAGTTTGTATTTGTAATTAGTAAAAGGTCTTAGAAACTAGCTCCTGAAGTGTGTACATATAAAAGGAAGTACAGATACTAAGTCTGACTTGCATCAGAGGTGGGAGATGCAAACACCTGCTTTAGTCCTGAAGATGTTCACCACATGGCCAGGGAGGACCAGAGCTCCCAAGTCCATCAGGCCTCTTTCTTAATCATTTAAGGGATGAAGAGTGACCAATGAGAAGTTATAACCAGAGGTGATACTGAAACTTTATTTAATATAAATATAATGCACTTTCATCTATAGCACTCGTATGCGGCTCCTTGGTTATGACATCAGAGCTACCCAGACTTTCAAGGTAACTGAGGGGCACAAATATGTAGATTCCTTCTCTCTGTACATTTATTTCTCATATTCTCACTACACACGTTCAGGCAGGTAGAATTTGCCCCAGTATCGCCCCTTCTGGGTCAGGTCATATGGGCTCAGTACTTTCCGTATCCCTAGCATGTTGGCAGTGGCTATGCGCTCAAAGGTCCAGGGGTTTTGGTTGTTATGCTCTCGTTCCTCTTGATCTTTCCGCATCTTCTCTAGGGTTTCACGGCTCACAGCCTTTGCTGGGAAGGGCAATTTGTGGGCAACCTGGTTGAGGAAACCTTGTACCTCTTTGAATTCACAGCGTCCACCCATCTCTACTATGAGGCGGCCAGTCTTCACAGGAGTCACATAGTGGTCAATGGCGCCTTTGCCGCCCCCCATACGCTGTCCCATACCCTTGCGGGTGATAGGCTTGAAAGGGGCTGGTACTCGCCATAAAGCAAACATGTTCTTGGGGTCCATAGAGCGGTTGATCGTCAGGCGCATCATTTCAAAATGGCCCCAGTGGAGGTAACCACCACCCAGTGCCTAAAAGTGAATGGGAGAATTAGAAGCACATGGGGATTTAGATATCTTAGATGGGCTCTATTCTTATGTCTTCTTTTATAGCAACTGTGGCTTCAACATACAAATGAAAATAAGAGTTATAATAAGTACCATGGAAAGCCTAGGACTGAGTAAGAAATGAGAACAAGGGCCCACTTCAATGGGTAGCCAGGAAAGGCTTCTTTGAGGAGGTGACATTTAAAGCTGAGTGAGGCCAGAACAGTAAGAACTAACCAAAGGAAAAAAGACAAGTATTCCAGGCAGAGAATGGTGTAGGTCAGTGGTTGGCAAACTGCGGCTCGTGAGCCACGTGCGGCTCTTTGGCCCCTTGAGTGTGGCTCTTCCACAAAATACCACATGCGGGCGTGCATGTACAGCGCCACTGAAACTTCATGGCCCATGCACAGAAGTCGGTATTTTGTGGAAGAGACACACTCAAGGGGCCAAAGAGCCGCATGCGGCTTGCGAGCCGCAGTTTGCTGACCACTGGTGTAGGTTAAGGCTTGGAGTGTGAGAAGCCAGAGAGGCTGGAGTAGTGAGGAATGGGCAGGCGAGAGTGGACAGGAGGGTCTGAGAGGTAGTCAGGCAGGGGCTGATCTTGGGGTTGTGGGAAGAGGACTTTAAAACATCGCTTTGGCTGCCTGATGGGAAATAAAGCCTAGTTCACATCCTTTTTGCTGCTACTGACATCAAGTCTTCATGGAAACTACTCAGTAAGTAAGGAAACAGCTGTCTCACATCCTAAATAGTGGATAGTTTTATTTTTCCAGAGGCCTGCAA